AATGTTTATTATACTAAAATATTCAATATTTCACTTAAAGAAAATAAAGTTAATTAAAAATATTTTTTAGTATTAGAAATAAAATATTAAAATTATATGGATGTTGTGATCAAAAAATATTATAATGTTTTTAACATTTTGAAAATCAAACGTAACAATTAAATAATCGTAAAATAATATTAATGTTATAAACTGTAATACTATTTTGCTAGCTAGGTATATGTTATTTATATTGTTGACTCAGATTATTCCTATTTTTTTCTTAATATTACCATTTTTAATAAAACATTAACAAACATAATTGATAACACATTAACTTACTTAAATTGTGTAGAACTAATATCAAGTTTTAATAGTTGATTTTCAACAAAACACACAAGGTTAATATTTTCAAATAGTGTATTGAGCACATTTATATTAGGTTCATCTTTGAGTAGTATAATTTGGGTAAAATAATTTTCTAACTGAAGAGAAATTTTATCATTAAATATTGGTTTTTCATCTGAAATTAAATAAAATCATGATTTTTGAGGAAAATACTTATTAAGTAAAATTTCAATAATTAATTTTGAATTTTAGCTTATTTTTTATTTATCTATTTTACTTTTGCTTTCTAACTCCACAGATGACTTTGGCATTATTCTTGGAATATCTTGTAATTTTAAGTAAAAATATATATTATTAATATTGTTTGTACTTATATTGTCCAAACAAATTTCAGTAAACAAAAACTTGTCAATCCAAATATTAGTTATCATAAAAACAATAATGACTGCAAGTAATTTCGGATCTACTTTTGAGAGAGCTGAAGTAGAAGCCGGGTGTATTTTTAATGGCAACATCCACTCAAATAAAACATCCATATACTAATAAAAAATATTTTTAGATAATTCATTTCAATGTATTACATGGTCAAAACATACAGATTCATTATTAGTGTGTCCTAAATAATCTTTTTCCTTGAACAAAACAATCAAAGTTCTTAAACTGAAATCATTTGGTTCGACTATTTTGTTCACATAGAGTCGTATTATTTCAACATAAAGCTCATTTTGCCAGTAATTGGATAAAATTAGAGATTGTAGTAAATTGTGAGAAGTTTCAAGGTTATCATTTGAAGTAATATTCCTAGTACATGACAAATATATTAAAATGCTAAGACAAATCTAAGTAATTCTTTCTAAAAACTTGAAAACATTTACTTTAATGTATAGTTCCAAACATCTTTATAAAAACATTTTGCTCGATAAGAATCAAAAAAATTGAAACAACTTTTTTTTTCTATTTCAATTAAAACTTTGCAACACCTAAATAGTTTCAATTTTGTCAAATAATATCAAACATAGTTGAAAATTACTTTTAACTTACTCAAGTAGACATTTGACTACGTTTTTATCTTTACAAACATTAAACATTTTTGAAATTTTTTCTATCAAATAAATGTATTCATTATCAGATAATGGTACCGTAGTTGAATTACTTTTCAGAATTTGTGTGACTATGGATGTCCTGTAAATAATGAAAATTATAAATTAGTAAGTTTGTAATAATTTTAATTTACATAAAAATAATAATTTGTAAAATTCATTTATTTAATTTTTGATTTGTTGTTAGAAAAAAACAGGATCCTTCAGAACATTCTCAAAAATTAAGGCTACAAGTGTTCATTATATCACTTTATCCAATCCCCCTTTAATAAGTAATTAGTAGGATTTTCATGAAGTTTTATAATAATGTTATCAATCACTTGAGACTCATGAGTTGGGAATTAGCTATGCCTAACGGGAAAAACTCATCCTAATAGCGAGAGAGACTGAAATTTGATTCCCAGTCCATTGACATATTTTTTTTCTGTTTCTAAGTCTTTACATTGTAGAAGTGTCCACAGTGTGGAGAGTGTAATGAGGCAACAAGTTGTATTGAGGATTGCAGGTCAATCACTTTAGTGGTTAGACCTTAATTTGAAATGAGGTGGTGTGATTCAAAGGGGGAATGTAACCCACAAGGGACCACAATCAAAGATGATCGATAAAATCTGATAGCCCTATGTTATTAACAACTTAAGAGACTCGGTAGTTAGAGAACAGGTATGGCAGCCAGGTTCTAACCATAAGAAAACAATTAAGGTATTTTAGATATTAATAGAATAGATATAGATATAGGAATAGATATTTTGTTTCAAGTAGTAAAATTTTCTATAAGTTATATCAATATAAAGTTAAAATTTTTTAAAAATATTCAGATATGTTATTTTAAATAAATATTATTTTTGGATATTATTTTGTATAGTAAAAATTGATAACTTTCAGATAATATTATTTAAAATTAAAAAAAATGTTTTTTAATTTTAAATAGTATTCTATAGTTGGAGCATATCTTTAATGAGAGAACTTTTTTAAATTTCGAGGAAAATGTCTTGAAGAAACTATTATTTGTGATTATGTGTCATTGAGCAAAACTGATTCAATAGAATCTAAATACAAGCAACAATAGATACAAAAACAAAATATAATAAAAATCATAATAAATTAATACCTTATCAAAATTACAATAAAAGTATTCAAATGTATTATTATAATTAAAATAAAAATACATATTTACCAAAAATACTTATTTTCTATAGACCTTAAAGGATTTATATTATCAACAAAATTTAATAAACTGATATCAAGCTTTTGTTTCTTTGATGTAGAAAAATTGTTTGGTGTAAAATTCATCGAGTCCGATTTAATACACATATAAACCTAAACATAAAGTGATATAGATAGAAGTTATTTTATTAATAACATAAACTAAAACAATTAACTTAAAAAAAAAGTACAAATATAAAAAAATATAATTATGTTTAATAAAGTTTTAATGATTTTTATGCAATATGCATTATAGATATACACCAATATAAGCTGTATCCACTTGAACTACATCCCAATTTTATATATTAATATAATATATATTTTTTTGTATGTATCTCAATATGTACTCATCCTAAAATTGTTATTGGTTTATTAAATTGTTTATAAGAAAAGCTATAAAAAAACGCCTTTTACAAATATTAAAAAATATTTATATTTTAACTATTAAAAACAACTAATAAATAAAACCCAGCACAGGGGGGTCGCGGCATAGTTGGATCAAGTATAATGATATCTGACAGTGATTAAAATCACTATCAAAATAAAACGCTTTGATGCAAAATCTTTGGATAGTGTTTAATTTTGAAAAATTAGTGTATTATTCCAAAAGCTACATGATCTGCTAGTTTCTTATTAATATCCTGATTAAGATAAAGTATGTCGAATGAAAAAGGGATTATTAAAAAATATTATTTCTCATAAAAAAAATGTGTTGATCCATACACTTTTCAATAAGTTATAGCATTATAAAGTTAAAAATGTAAAAAATAATATCGAGAATTTTCACACAAAAATAGCATTCGGTAGCCATTTGCACTATGAAAATAAAATAAAGTCTGAAATCTATATTATATAAGCTTTAATTTAAGATATATATAAAAGTATCAGTATTTCCTGAACACTTTCAAAAATTAAGTTGAAAAAGTTCTAATTTCTATATGCATTTTTATGTTTTGAACACCTCCTGCATTAAGGGAAATGGTCCGATTAAAAAAAAAAAGTATGTCGAATGAAAGAAGTATATAAATATTATTTCTTATAAAAAAAATGTGTTGATCCATACACTTTTCAATATGTTATAGCATTATAAAGTTAAAAATGTAAAAAATAAAATCGAGAATTTTCACACAAATATAGCATTTGATGGCCATTTTTATCGTGAAGACAAATTAAAGTCCGAAATTTTTTTTTTCCATAATAAAGTATATTACATTAGCTTTAATTTAAGATATATATAAAAATGTCAGAATTTCCGGAAAACTTTCAAAAGTTAAGTTGAAAAAGTAAATTTTTTATTGTTATCTGTGTATTACTCGATTGTGTTATTTATTACATATTATTTTACTTATAGATTTTTTAATTTTTGAAAAAATTATGGCAGTTTTAAGTAAAAAAATTTTCGAAAATTTCGAAAATTAACGATTTTAAAATTTGTAATTTTTTTTTAGATTTCACCCATTAAGGGAAACGAGGGAAATTTTTTCAATTTTTAAGGGTAATGTCTTCGACTAGATACGATTTATGATCTTTTGACGTATCGTTGAAAGAAATCCGTTCGGTGAGAGCTGAGAAAAAGTGGTAACAGACACAAAAAAAAACACATCATAGTAAAACCAATACCTTCTCAGCTTTGCATCGAAGCTAAAATAGGATTTTAACAAAGCCTAGGAATGTATATAATTTTTTTTAAATACCCAAAATATTTAATAAATCAAAAGTTATTAGATTTGTCAAAACACTGTGGACCATTCTGTATAAACTGAGTGATTGATTAAGGATAAGACACTAATTTTCTTGGAAACTATTGAAAAGAAAGAAAAAAAAATGTTTAATATAAAAAACAAACTACAGTAATATTTAGTAAAATAATTTTTTTTCGTTCCTTCAGGGTAAAGAAATTTAAACTTTAATTTTCTTTAATGGGAATCCCTATTTTTAGTTTATTAGTATCTTCTTCTTCTTATTCTTCTTCCTCGTCTTAATCCCAACTACTTAGGGTCGGCCACCCTTATCCTAAACTTCCACTTGACATGATCTCTCATGACATGACATCAGCTGTCCTCAAATCGCATTTAATAGCATATCACCATCTCTTTTTTAGTCTTACTCTACCTCTTCTTCCTTCAACATTCATTTCTATAACTGTTCTTACAACTTCCGATTCTTCTCTCCTCATAACATGACCAAACCATCAAAGTCTATTTTCTCTCATTTTATCCACGATTGACGCTACATCTATACTCCCTCTTATATGCTCGTTCCTTATTCTATCTTTTCTAGACACTCCACTCATCCATCTAAGCATTCTCATCTCTGCTACATTCTCTGTTATACTTTCTTATCAACCGCCCAACACTCTGAACCATACATCATAGCTGGCCTTATTACAGTCTTGTAAAATTTACCTTTCAGCCTCATTGGAATTCTTTTATTGCATAAGACGCCAGACGCTTCTTTCCCTTCAACCACCGGCACTTAATTCTGTGTCTTACATCCTCGTCAATACCACCACTCTTTTGCACAACTGACCAATACTTAAAACTCTCCACCTCTCCAATCACGTCCTCGCCTATTGTCACTGACCTCCTCATTTCATCTACCTCGTGTTCTCTTTTGTCAAACTCGTACTCAATATACTTTGTCTTACTTCTACTTATTCTTAAACCCTTTTCTTCAAGAGCTGATCTCTTCACCTCTAACCTTTGATTAATTTCCTCCCTATTTTCTCCTATTAACACTATATCGTCAGCAAACAACATGCACCATGGCACCTCTCCTTGTATTTCTCTAGTAATTTCATCCATCACTATAGAGAATAAGTAAGGGCTTAAAGCAGAACCTTGGTGCACTCCTACTCTTACCCGAAAACCTTCTGATATTCCTCTCTCGGTACTCTGTCATACGCTTTTTCCAAATCTATAAATACCATACACAGCTTTATCTTTTTTCTCCATCCAGTTGACACGGCACCGCCTTTTGCTCTAGGCTGGCGCTCACCCGTGTCTCTCTCGATATCAGCCGTCCAGCTATTAATATGACAATCGGTTGTCATCGGTCGTCTCCCCGCCCTTGACACTGAGATAAGGCCGCCGCCGAATATGGATTACCGATATTGCGTCCTGTTCCGTTTTCGACGTTCACCTGAAGTGGTGTATTTTTTNCGACGTACCCTGAAGTGGTGTATTTTTTTTGCTGTTGCGTTTTCGGACGACTACCTTAACCGGACATATTTCACCTATGCGAACGTTTGTTTTCTTTCTGTGGTTCGTTCAGATATTTTCGGCTCTACCTCTTAGTGGAAATTTCGACAAATTGTGTTTGCAAATTTATCTGTGTGTTCTTGACCGCACGCTTTAACTTAAGGATATATCCGTTAAAGATCAGTAATTGGAGTAAACTTAAATTAACTATAATTGTGATTGAAGTCGTGCGCTGGACTTAGTGTTACACCTTATTAAATATCTAATAGCGGAATAACATCTATATATACATATATATATATATATATATATATATATATTAGCGCGCAGTGAAGCATCACCGGTTCAACCGTAAACAGTGGATACGCGTAACAGTCTTCTTTCCTTTTGCTTTTCTGCCATACTTTGAATTGCTATTTCTTACTTTCTATGATTTTTAAACGTCCTTTATCCCACCACCAGGTTTCCTTGTTTCCTGGCATTCTACTCCTACTCTCATAAACAATCTCCTTTGCAGTATTCTTTACACAACTAACAAATCTATTCCACACATCACTTATATCTCCCTCGACATTCCACACAGTCCTCTCTTTTACCGTCTTTACAAACTCTTTTTCAATTTCCACCACCAGATCTTCAATTTTTCCCCTGTGTTTCTTCTATTTTTGTTTATTCTCTTTCTGGTACACCACAACTCCATTACCATCAGTCTATGTTGTGATATTAACTGTAATGTAAAAGTATGATAGAAAAAAATTTCGTTTTTATAATATTTTTTATATGCTAAACCATTCATCCATGCTTGTTAAAGCTTAGTGATTTTTGACCAATTTTCTACTGATAATTTGCTGTTTAGTATACAATTGTTTGTTGTTTGTTCTTCATCTCACATAAGTTTTTATAAATAATTTTTGTTACCATAACTGTCACTTACGATAACAAGAATAAAAACTGATAATTATTTATAAGAGATTGTAAAATTAAACCTAAATTAATGTTGAATTAGTTTTTTTTTTTTAATTCAAAACTTTAAACGATTTTAATTGCAAACAGTTAATTGAAAAAAAAGATTATTGTATGAAATTTTTTCTATCATAAAATCAAACTAAATAGAGGTTTTTATTAAAGAAAATTAAAGTTTACGTATTTTATTCTTAAAGGGATTTAAAAAAAAATTATATAACTACATATTACTATAGTATTTTTTTAAATAAATAACATATTTTAATTACAAAAATTTTTAATTTATAATGGTTTTTAAGAAAATATATTTATGGTTCCTCAAATTCATGTTTTATAAAATATCTTCATTAAATAAATTAGCTTTAATTTTTTATTAAAGCTAATCATTATTTAATTTTTATTAACATTAATGGTTCTTTTTTGGACTTTTGATTCTAAAATAGCAATTATTTTATTCAAAAAATCTTTTTATATTATTTGAATTTCATAAGTTACAACTTTAAAAGTTAAATTTTAGAGGCAATCAAGAAAGCCATACATATTTTTAAAAACAACATCTTTATTAGGTTGTAAATTGGATAAGTGAACAGGTTTTTAACAAAATTAGGGTGAACAGTTTATCGTATTTATATAAACCACTAGCATTAATCAATACACCACATAACTTTTCCATCTTGTTAAGATAAGTAAATTTTTTTCAGTTTTCCCCAAAACTTTAAACAGCTATAACTCATTTATAATGGAATAATATAAAAAAATTAGAGTAACCAATTGAAAATCTGAAATTAATAAAAGTTTAATCATTATTATTAAAAAAATAAAATAATGATTAGCTTTAATATTTTATAGATATTTTATGAGGCATAGCTAAGAAAACACTATATATATAATATATAAATAAATTTAATATAGATCACTGAATTATGCATTATATTAAGTTTACTCAATAAAAAAGAATATCACTATTTTGTACTATTATCTAAATATTATCACTATCATTTTACAACTACAATTTAAGATTTAAAATTTAAATTTTTTGGTCTAAGAGTTTCATGGTATTATGAAATTAATTAATAACTGTTAAGCCCTAGACATATGTCCCCTTTGTCTTCTATTAGCTTCAGCACTGTATCTTATGATAATAATAAATGAATAACAATTTTTTACCACATTAAAAGCTACAACAGCCAGCTGTTCAAGGTAATATAGACAATTTTCAATGGGATTATTTTTAGTAATTTGAATTTCTTGATGAGCAAATTGATATATTTCAAATAGAACCTGTGACCAAATATTTTTATTGACAATACATGAAGCTTTGTGTTCAAAACCAACCAACTTAGGATGATGAATTTCAATAAATTTGATGAGTAATTTATACATATATTTTTGTACCTATAAAAGATATTTATATAACTAAATTGTAATAAGAAACATAATATTTTTTATACAGACCTTTTTTAATCCATTATTTTTATAAAAATGTATTAGAGTTATTCCATTTTCTTCGGAAAATTCACAGAGCGACATACGGCATTCAACTCCAATCTTCATTTTTAATAAAATATTGAAAAATATCATATCCATAATTTAAATATGAAAAGTTTACATTTATTTAAATATAACTCTATAAGCTTTTCTTTTACATTAACATATTTTCTCAAGCATGCAAAGTATACTATTAATAAAATTGAATATTTTTTTTTTTTTTTTGAAGGAGTAATACTACTAATTTACTTAAGTAAATCATTTTATGAAAAATATAAGTAATAAAATGAATTAATGTTATTGCACTATCACTATTACCAAAATATTATTAAAAATATTATAATTATTATTATTAGATTTGTAATACATATAAATGCTTATTTCAGAATATTTTGAAAATCTATTTTAGTATGTGAAGAGCACATATTTGAACTTGCTGAACACTTATTTTTAAGGCATAATGTTTTATTTTTAATACATATTTTTTCAATTTTTAATGTATACTTGAATGTTTATTTATGCGTTTTATGTGCATAAACATGCACTAAAAGTGAAGCTTGCTAATCACACAATTTATACAATAATACAGAATATTTTTTAAAATGCTATAACAAGGATAGATTTTCTTAATAAACGGGGCATTAAATATAGTTGCAATTTATTTTAATTACTCTTCAGGAATAAAATGTTCCAATTATAATAATTTAAAAAAACGGCAGTACAGTGGAATCACAGCACAATATGGACATGACAAGTATAGATGATATCTGACAGTGATTAAAATCACTATCACAAGAAACCCTTCGATGGAAATCTGTAGAGAGTGTTTAATTTAAGGAGATTGGTGGATAATACACAAAGCAAAATGAATTCCTATTTCCTTGATTATTCCTTAGTAATTTTTTGATTTAGAAATATAATATATGAATAAATATTTATTATGGCAATTAAATTAGTATGAGATTGATATTTAATAATGTAGTGTTTCAATTTTTTTTTGGAGAATTTATAAATAATTATGAAGTAGTTATTACTTTTATGGAAAAAATGTATAAAAGTTGAAGGGCTTGGCACAAAACTTTTTAGATAATAATTTGTTGTTAATTATGAATAAATGGTTTACAAAAAATGTTCATCAGAGTCAAAAATATACTTTTATTATTCAATTCTTCGTGCTAATTTCAATTCAGCAATTATATTTTATCTATTTCCAACAATTTTTGATAATATTACTAATTAATTAAAAACTATAGGATAATAGTTATAAGGAAAATAGTTCTAAATATTTCAATTGTATCATCTTTTTAAACACCGAGAGTTACATAGAAATGATTAATATTTTTTTTTTTAATGATTTATTAGAATCTTATTATATAATAGAACAAGGAAAAAAACGCTTTTCTGGGAAAATTACTTAGCGTGATCGGATTTTCAAAAATTTTTTTTTCAACGAAAGTACTCGGTCACCAGACTCCGGGAAAATTATTGGCGAAGGTCGGAAAATTTTTGCCGCTCGCCCGCGAGCGTTTTAAAACTTCGACCGTTTTCGAGAAAAACGCTCGCTGACGCCAGCGTTTTACGACTTAAGGTTTGAAATTTTCATCAGACCCGCCCAATAACATTCCTGAGATATGATAAAAAATCAATTCAATCCGATAATTTTTCACCGTTTTACGAGATTTTTTTTTTCATGCGCTCGAAGCGCCAGGGCGCGCCGCCCGAAATTCTTGCGACACTTTACGACATGAAAACGCTTTGATGCAAAATCTTTAGATAGTGTTTAATTTTGAAAAATTAGTGTATTATTCCAAAAGCTACATGATCTGCTAGTTCCTTATTAATATCCTGATTAAGATAAAGTATGTCGAATGAAAAAGGGATTATTAAAAAATATTATTTCTCATAAAAAAAATGTGTTGATCCATACACTTTTCAATAAGTTATAGCATTATAAAGTTAAAAATGTAAAAAATAATATCGAGAATTTTCACACAAAAATAGCATTCGGTAGCCATTTGCACTATGAAAATAAAATAAAGTCCGAAATTTTTTTTTTTCATAATAAAGTATATTATATAAGCTTTAATTTAAGATATATATAAAAGTATCAATATTTCCTGAACACTTTCAAAAATTAAGTTGAAAAAGTTCTACTTTCTATATGCATTTTTATGTTTTGAACACCTCCTGCATTAAGGTGTGATGGTGTCACGTTTTCATAATCGTGAGAATTATTTTAATAAAATACAGACAGCACATCCACTGCCTGAGACTGATGAATTAACAAATAATATTTATTGCCAAATCGGCAATAAGTGTAATTATTATAAAAACCCAATAGACCTGACCATCGGCGTCAGTCGACTCCAGTGCTTTGTGTCATTCATCAGTCTCAGTATTCGGTTGTCGCTGTCCGGCTTACTGTTTAAAGTAAAGTCTTTGTTTATTCCTTTTCTAACCTATATACTCTTTTCCTCGACATTTCAGAGTACTTGTGTCTTGCACTTCGTCTGCACCTCGTACTTTGTTATACTCCTTATCTGGTACGCCCAGTATTTGTGTCTTGCACTTCGTCTGCACCTTATACTCGGCTACCCCGTTCTCTCTTTGAAGTACTTGTGTCTTGCACTTCGTCTGCACCTCATGCTTTGTTATAATCCTTATCTGGTACGCCCAGTATTTGTGTCTTGCACTTCGTCTGCACTTCATACCTAGGTGTTACTCTTATTCTCCCTTCCTATAACAACAGCCTTTCGACACCCACAGCTAACCCGGAGTGTCAGCCGAGCACGGTGACTGCTGTACGACAACACGCACGTGAATACCTAGACAGCAGGCACCACCTCCTCATATTCATCTTCGTACACACACTTACACATAGTTTCACATTTACCCATTTATACTTTTTACTGTGTTACGACAAAGGGAAATGGTCCGATTAAAAAAAAAAAGTATGTCGAATGAAAGAAGTATATAAATATTATTTCTTATAAAAAAAATGTGTTGATCCATACACTTTTCAATATGTTATAGCATTATAAAGTTAAAAATGTAAAAAATAAAATCGAGAATTTTCACACAAATATAGCATTTGATGGCCATTTTTATCGTGAAGACAAATTAAAGTCCGAAATTTTTTTTTTCCATAATAAAGTATATTACATTAGCTTTAATTTAAGATATATATAAAAATGTCAGAATTTCCGGAAAACTTTCAAAAGTTAAGTTGAAAAAGTAAATTTTTTATTGTTATCTGTGTATTACTCGATTGTGTTATTTATTACATATTATTTTACTTATAGATTTTTTAATTTTTGAAAAAGTTATGGCAGTTTTAAGTAAAAAAAATTTCGAAAATTAACGATTTTAAAATTTGTAATTTTTTTTTAGATTTCACCCATTAAGGGAAACGAGGGAAATTTTTTCAATTTTTAAGGGTAATGTCTTCGACTAGATACGATTTATGATCTTTTGACGTATCGTTGAAAGAAATCCGTTCGGTGAGAGCTGAGAAAAAGTGGTAACAGACACAAAAAAAAACACATCATAGTAAAACCAATACCTTCTCAGCTTTGCATCGAAGCTAAAATAGGATTTTAACAAAGCCTAGGAATGTATATAATTTTTTTTAAATACCCAAAATATTTAATAAATCAAAAGTTATTAGATTTGTCAAAACACTGTGGACCATTCTGTATAAACTGAGTGATTGATTAAGGATAAGACACTAATTTTCTTGGAAACTATTGAAAAGAAAGAAAAAAAAAAGTTTAATATAAAAAACAAACTAAAATTTGGAATATTATAGACTGATAGTAAGACACACAAATTAAGTTAAAAAATTAATAAATTACAAAGTAAAATTATTTAATTTTGTAGTTGAAACCTATTATATCAAACCTAAATCGTCAATAAATACTTAACAAACATTAAAAATTAATGATTTTAATTGTCTATATGGAAAATGTGAGCTAAATATCAATTTAATTGATATTTATTGAAGTTATATTGAATCTAAATGAGTTAAAAATTTGTATTCATCCATATTTTTTTCAAATAGTTATGGCAGTTTTAAGTAAAACAAAATAGAAAAAATGTCAAAAATTAGCTATTGTTAAATATGTCATTTTTTTGGAGAATTCTCCCATTTACTGGAAACGAGGGAAATTTTTTCAATTTTTGAGGGTAATGTTTTCAACTTAATACGATTTATGATCTTTTAGCCTATCGCTGAAAGTAATAGGTTTAGTGAGAAATGAGAAAAAGTGGTAACAGACATACACAAAAAAAAAGAAAACACTTCACATCACTATGTTCCCTTGGAGGTCATAGTGATGGGGTCACTGATTTTCATAAAATTTGTATAAATTTAATCTATATTAAATACAAAATAAGAGGTATTTTGAATTTGTTGCCAATTAAGTCGAGAAAATTGACTTTGAAAATTTTTAATTTGTTTATAATAGGGTCATTTTTCATCTACAGACAATAACGTGTTGGGGTCGAATCGAGAATATGGGATCTTATGACTCGTTGAATCTGGTTTGTTATACTACACACACCACTCATTATTCTTTAGTCTATATATATTATTCTCTTTTAGTCATCAAATTAAAAATATATTATGTCAATAATTTAAAATATTCCGAGAAATATGTCTAAAAATACATTGATACAAATCTAATGTAATAACTATAAGAAATTCTTTAGTTATGACAAATTATCTATTTTAAGTAAAATAATATGTAATAAATAACACAATCGAGTAATACACAGATAACAATAAAAAATTTACTTTTTCAACTTAACTTTTGAAAATGTCCCGGAAAGTCTGACACTTGTAAATATATCTTAAATTAAAGCTAATGTAATGTACTTTATTATGGAAAAAAAAAATTTCGGACTTTAATTTGTCTTCACGATAAAAAGGGCTATTTTTGTGTGAAAATTCTCGATATTATTTTTTACATTTTTAACTTTATAATGCTATAACTTATTGAAAAGTGTATGGATCAACACATTTTTTTTATGAGAAATAATATTTTTTAATAATCCCTTTT